TAAAGTGAAAACATTTCAATATTAGCTTTGTTTTGCTTTAATCAATCACATTGTGCTGCCATTTTCATCTTGTCTTTCATAAAATAATTTATTGTTAAATACATGCCCTACTGAGACACAACAGCACATGATATTAACGTTCTAATACCTTTAAATAATTGATTGACTCATTGTTACTTTTGTCTTTACTCTTTGACTTACTGCTCTGTTGTTCTCTCCACCCACGCATCCAGTGAACTAAGACAAACATTGAGTGTCTCTTTGGCTGAAAGCATCATAGAACAAGTGCTAAAGGATCTGACAGTAGCAGAGGACAACATGGTAAATCTTTGTGTGTGTGTGTGTGTGTGTGCGTGTGTGTATTTGAATATTTGATCTTACAGTATAGTATTCTGTTGTTGGTTGGTTGAGCTTATTGAAGGACTGTGGTGTGATTTCATACAGGAAAGAATACACGGTGGCTTCAGAGAGACAACATGTTTAATCACATGAAATGTTTATCTTAACTTAGCACAAAGATGGTATACAGGAGGGAAGCTGCATCAAACCTCCCCAGAAATACAACAATCTTAAATACTGCATTGTACCAATGTGCCAATGAAACAGAAGGTGTTATGATTGCTATAACTACACATTATTATTATTATGTCAGGATCCACAGAGACGGCCTGCTCTACAGAGGCTTTCTGTGATCGTTAGCAGCTTGTCCGGCCTTATGCTGTTGCCTAGCAACAGAGCTTGACTTGGACATGACAAGACAGTTTTAGTGTTAATAATGTTAACATTAGTTCTGTAAGCTGTTTGTTTGAGTTGAAGCATGATACTCAAGCAATGGCTGCTTGTTGCTTGATGGCGCCATTCCCATTTTTAGAAAATGGTTTATCACTGAAGAGCAACGAATCCTTAGATAGGTTGTGGTGGGAAGGATCCACACGTTTTGGTTTATCTGGGTTCGGAGAATGCATCAATTTGCCACATTTGAAATGGGACATCCTAGGCACCCTACTGGGATGCAATTGGTTATCAAATGCAGCCTCTGAAGGACGCCACCCCTAAGATGATACACAGCTACTGTCAGGGGGTGGAGCAGAGCGAGGAAAGGGAAGACACATATACACAATCCAGCCTACCAACAGGAAGTGAACCAAAAAATTGTTCCAAGATTCCAGAATCCTAACAGTTAGATAACATTATCAGATATCAGTGTCATTCATACACTGTGTGGAAATCAATATGTTGCACTGAATTTTGGTTGTGTGTCTTTATTTAGGATTGTCTAATAAAAGAACACTCCTGCAGTGCCCTTCGACACAACATCCCAGAGCTCCTTCTGAGTGAAAGTGACTTTCCAACTGATGATGTAAGGGACCCCACACCTTTCCCCCCTTATCCATTCGGTTCACACATTCATTATGTGTTAGACTTTCCATTTTTGTTCTTACTTTTACACTGTCCATCAACAGTACAGTCCAGCATTTTGGAGAAATAACATCAACTCCAAGAGCCTGAGGCCTGCCTCTTCAATAAAGAGTAAGATCCAGTCACTGTTATGCAGCGATTCTGAAATATCTCTCTCTGCCTCTCTCACTATCTGAGTCTCACCTTGGTTCAAGTCAATTCCTCTGCATGTGTGGACGATTGCTCTACTTGCCAAATACATCCATTTCTTGTCATGTTTGTGTCCGCTCTCCTCTTCCCTCTGGTTGAACCTCACCAGCTCCTGAGAAAAAAAGATCAGGCTCTCCAGCTGCTAAACTCTCCACTATGTTAACCAGCTGCTCTCGAACATGGTCTGACAGCTGAGTGGTGCTGAGCACGTACTGGACAGCAGGTTTGTCATAGCTTTTCCCTGAAGACGCTGTGAAAGACTATAGATCTGAGGGGAACTACAGAACTGCTGATAATAGCCATGTGATCAATTTTTTATCAATCAATCTAATTTTATTTGTATAGCCCATATTCACAAATTGTCTCATAGGGCTCAACAAGGTGTGACATCCTCTGCCCTTAACACAAACATATGAATTGGCCCAGATAGAAGTATATTCACTCACTCTGATTACGTTGACTCTCTGTATGCTGCACTACATTAGGCTATACAGTTGGATGTGTGCAGCCAAAGCTAGATGGGGTTGCTAAAACTATTTCTATGCGGCATCATATCTGTATAATAAAAAGTCTTAAAGAGGTGATACATACCCTGTGCATGTGATATCAATTAGAAGATTTAATGATTGTTATAAGTAAAAAAACACTTACTTTATTTAGAACAGAAGATACACACAGACTGTATGGAACTCTGGGCTGTTGGCTGTGCTCAGTTCATAGAAAGAGACGACAAA